CTGCCATCATTAGTCATTAGTCATACTTCTACTGTTATTATACACATATGACTATTGTCACACATGTATACTGCCAGATATTAATACATACTTTCAACATATTGTACCACAGTAGCCAGAACTATAACGATAATATTATTACTTTCAATAATGTTGTTGTAAGCTACTGTCATTACCTGCATCTCTCTCTCTCTCTCTCTCTCTCTGTCTCTCTGTCTGTCTCATTGTGTCATGCAGATTACTGTTAATTTATTATGTTGATCTGTTCTGTACGACATCTATTGCATGTCTGTCCGTCCTGGAAGAGGGATCCCTCCTCAGTTGCTCTTCCTGAGGTTTCTACCGTTTTTTTTCCCCGTTAAAGGGGTTTTTTGGAGGAGTTTTTCCTTATCCGCTGCGAGGGTCATAAGGACAGAGGGATGTCATATGCTGTAAAGCCCTGTGAGGCAAATTGTGATTTGTGATATTGGGCTTTATAAATAAAATTAATTGATTGAACTGATTGACTGCTAGCTCACCTTGCACCACTGAGCATTACAGTTCAACTGAGGATGACACCATTAGCACAAGCTTCTCATCCATGAGTAGATGCATGCTTCCTTCTGCACGTTGATACATTTAGCGGGTGTTGTTCAGTAGACATCTCTCCAGCAGATATCTCCAACATTCGTCAACTCACACCAAAACAAGTTAGGTCGACAAATAGCACTACAGATAAGAGTAAAAATATGTATTTTTAATTTTTGTGTGAACTGTTCCTTTAAATTATTGTTTGCCCCCCCTATCATAACTCACTTATATTCCACATTTCCCATCAGACCCCATGGCTCCCCCTGCTCCAGTGATCCAGGCCTCATCAAGCTCGGTGGCTGTGGGGGAGAATCTGCGTGTCAGCTGCTCTGTGGTGGGCGAACAGGACGTGGTCATAGAGTTTACCTGGGATTACCCAGGACAAGAGGTGAGACATGGGGAGAGAGGGCTGACTAGAATTACTTTACAATATGGCATATTTGCTGTACTATCAGTTTCAGGTGTGTTGTGAGACAAAGTAAGTGAAGGGCTTATGTAACTGGTGTACATCCTGTGTCATATAGCTTACTTTGCATTTAGTTCATCATTAGTAAAAAGGCATTTAACCCATGGCCTGTGGAGCATCCAGGCCTGTAACTGTGTTGCTGATTTATTAACATTAAACCTGAGGACTTGGTGACTTATTGTCAAGAGGTCACATATGTGCCATGCTGTGCAGTACATGTTAATACTCAAATTTAACAGATCACCTGCTCTGGTTGCAGATTGGGAGGCCTCCATACACAAAGGAAAGCGTCACTCCAGTCGGTGGAGGAGAGGCTCAACAGCAGTCTCAGTCTGTGCTCCTGGTGGACGAGGTGAGGGATGTGGACCAGGGAACGTACACCTGCACCGCCCAGAACCTGCAAGGAGCCAAATCAGTGTCCACTACTGTTAAAGTGGTCCCCAAATCCAAACCTAGGAAACCATAAGCCATCAAAACTGGATGACATCACTAAGATGAGAGTGAGAAGGTGGAGATCAGGTGTAACAGTTTGCTCTGTCAGTATTAAACAGTACTCTGTTAGTCCCATATGAATATATGACATCATCTGCTCCGTCTGTAGTTGATAACAGAGATTTTGTTGTTTAGATGAATGTATGTAAATTGTGCATTTAGCTTGTGTATTCAAAGTTTTATATGCATACATTGTTCCTTGTCTTTTTCTACTTATTTTGTATTGTGCATGACCTCGCCAGAGATGAAGGCAAAGAAAATAAATAGAATTAAATGAACAGTTGTGATGATATTCTCCTTCTTCTTTTCTGCTTCTTCTTATTATTTTAATGCAGATGGTTTATTTGTCTGTAAGTTAGATAGGCTATTGGTTTGGGGTGCCATTGGGGCAATTGTCCACTTTACCCAATTGGTAATCTAGTGGTGGAATGAAACTAAACACATTTCCTCAAGTACTGCACTTAAATTCAAATTAAAGGTACTCATACTCTGCTTGAATACTGTAATGTCATGCCACTCAGGGGCGAAGCCAGACGTTGTAAACAATGGAGGCTGGAGCCCCAGAAGCCACCCACCACTCCACCTCCGATGCCACTTTTTACTTTTACTCCACTACACTTCAGTGGGACATATGGTGCATTTCCCCCCACTACAATTATTTGAAAACTTAAGTTACTAGTTACTTCACAAATTAAGATTTTCTTTTGCACACAAGTGCAGGTGCTATGATTAGTTGATTGACTGACTGACAGAAAATTAATTAAAAACTATTTTGATAATCATTTAAGTATTTTTTGTGCAAAAAATGTTCCTGGTTGATGCTTTTCTTTTTAATTATTTTGATTTATTATTTAATTATCTGCTTTGAGTACTTTTAACAGTTCCAGAGAGTATTACATGGGCCTACTTTTGCTTCAATCACATTTTCAATACCTCCTTGCAAGACAGTGCAAGTCTTGCATTACGTAAAATGTGGGTGTTTCTCTTTGGTGCTCCTGTTTTTGTTTTGTTTATATGGTGCACCTTCATGCCTAACCGCTAGATGGCGATGTCCCCCTTCACAACTTGAAGTGTGTCAGTTCAGTCACCGGGGGGACAGTCAGGCACATGTTTCCCTGCCTCTCATGTTTCCTCTCACTGTGTTCAAACCTCCGAGAGGGAAAAGAGACGATCCCAGCACTCTGCGCTCCTCTCCGTCTCCGCACATTGCCAGTGGGCTGATCACTGTCTGCTGCTCCGCACCAACTCCTGGAAAATATTCTGCGGAGCCACGTAAACGCCGCTTGTTTCATTATATAAGCAGGGAGAGAGAAAACTGCAGCAGAGTACCCAGTGCTGGTCCGAGAGATGTCCTGCGTGCAGAATATGGTGAGCGCCAGTTTTTCTAATCTTTCCATGATCCGCTCCCTCCTGCACATGCAGCGTTGCAGCCTGGATCTGTGTCAGTGTTTGTGCATTGGTTTGTTGTGCTCCATGATGATGCCATATTCAAAACTTTCTGCAGACCAGACCTGTGTAAATAAATCTAAAGATACGCTGCTTGAATGTGTAGATTAAAGCCTGTAAAGTAATGACACAGTGCCGCTCTCAACTGGATCAGAGTTTTAGTCCCTAAATCAGGGTTAATCCTTGCAATTTGTTTTCACTGTTGACCTGGCAACTGGCAGAGTATGTGTATGTGTGAGAGAGAGAGAAGAAGGAGACTAATGGATGAACAATGATTTTTTTTTTTTTGACATTTATTTCCTGTCACTTTGCAGCTATGGTGGTCTCCTCTGCAGTGTGTTCAATAGTGTTTGGCCTGCACGGCTGTAAATGTTTGGGTTGAAGCTCTCACTCCAGGGTCTCTTTTGATGTGCAGGAGCTTGGGGACAAAAGCTGTTTCTGTGTGTGAGAGAGTCTGAGTGTGTGTGGGAGTGTGGGAGTGTGTGTGTGTGGGTGGAGGGGGAGACACCGGCCCAGTCTTGGGGACTTCCAGACTGTTGTCGTGGAGACCAGAGGCCACAGGTGACCTCTGACCTGAGGACACATGGAGCGTTACAGGGAAAGTCCTTTGAGTGTGGTGGTTGTGGGTGCGTGCTGACGTAAGTGAAGGAGCCGCACTGACAAAAGAGAGACAATAGATGTGTTGGGAGACTGCGTGGTAACCATTCCTGTAATTTAGGAATGAATTATATGAGAAGTCAAAGAGGTGATCGTGGGGTGATATACTGCTGTCTCTGCTGGTGTGAATGTGTGTGACTGATCCCTGCATGGCAGTCACTGAGACAGCTTAAGTATTGTTTAGGGTAAAAGTCACCGCACAAAAATGCATTTGTCCATCTCTTCTCGCCCACTTCTTCATGACACAGAGGTGACTGAGAGATGGGATTTTGCAATCAGCTCTCCCTTATCATCAACTGCGAAAACAAACCAAAAACAAATCAAATAGTGCAGTGTTAGCAAGAGTTTTGTGAGATCAGGACTGACTGTGAAATTACAGTTTGAAGAGTCAGTTCACACAAACCACACACTCACAAAGTGTCTAGAACTTCTGCCCCTAACCTAAATAAAACAGAGATGAATGGAATTTCATGTGTGCCGCTAATGAAACTGACAACTGAACCAACAACAGAGACTACCTGCACAGCTGGATCCCACTTGTGTTGTCCTGGTCCCACGCCCAGGGCATCAGAAACTGGTGCTTGGGCTTTGGCCCTTGGTGTCAGATACGGATGCACAATGCAACCTTTAGCATCTGAATGAGACGCACAAGGCTTTCAAAATTCTCTGATATACACCCATTTGTGTTACTATTAAACAGTCAGAGAAACAGAAGATGCATAAAGAGTAAGTAAGTCCAATTAACGTGAGTGGGACAGGAGGATTATGGGTCCAGTAAGCACAGGACTTTGACTCAGGAGACTGGTGTTTGTGTCGCATTTAAAACTAAGTCAGTCTTGAGTTATTTTGTCACGTGAGTTGTCAGTCAAGTGAGTCAACCACAGTCTTTTTCTAACCCTAACCAAGTTGTTTTGTTGTCTGAACAAACCGCAGAACCCCTCTGTGGTAACATAAAAAGCAAAAGGCTGCGACAGCTTCTGATCAAGCATCAAAATATGACGAATAGGGATTAGATCACATCGAGTGATGTGTGACAAAATGTGGTTGTTTATGTGATTTGGGTGAACTGGCCCTTTTAAGGTTGCATTTAAATGAAGCAAATCACCTGTAGAAGCAGTTTTGGCATCTACCTGCTTAGCTGATTACTACGTCAGTGGATCTACAGAAAACTAATTGTGTATCATTACGATGATTAATTTATTGTTTAGGTAATTTCTTAAGCAAATACAGCCACATCTGTGAGTTTACAATTGCTTGTCACTGTTTTGTGTCACTTAAGAATGAATACTTTTGAAGTTTTTGGCTGTCTGTCACTTTGAAATAAGCAATTTGAAGGCATCGCTTTAATCTCTGACAACTTGTGATGTCATCATATTGGACAGTTTAGAGACATTAAGAGAACAATCAAAATAATTATTAATCTTTTTTAAAGAGGTGACACTAATTATGGCCACATTTGACATGGCAATATTTGGAAAAAAAAGTACTATGATGCCTGGTTTTATCAATATTGCAAAGCCCATCTGTTGGCTAAAAGCTTATTGGGAGATTTTTGACGAGAGCCTATTAACACAGTCTGTGTCTTTGCTGCTCTTCTCTCAGCAGAATCAGCCAGACAGCTGATGTGATGTCTTCGTTCAGCTGTTTGAGCTCTCGGGGTTGACACTCCCCTGTGTGTGTGTGTGTGTGTGTGTGTGCATACATGTGTCTTCTTAAAGCACTGGCAGCTGATGAAACACTAATGCTGCTGATCAGTCAGATGTCTGCTGACCATTTGCTTCTTGTTGCCCAACCTATAGAGAGGAGGATACAAACTCCTCGTCATCAAGCACATTACATGTGAATAATACCACGCCTCTGTATTTCCACAAAATGATGTTCGTCCTGATGTAATGCTTAAATGAAGGTGCAACTAAATACTTGTCTTGTCCATCAGAACCTAATAAATCCAACATTACCACTGTAAACTACAGCACTATTAGACTTTACGTCTCTTTTTCTATTAGGTCTAGCATGTAAGTGCACAGCAGGTCAGTCATGCATACGACAGTGGAACAGATGGCGTGGCGGGGAGAGTGCAGTCATAATGGCAATGTGTTGGTGGACAGAGATTTTCCCTCAGGCCAGTCAGCTAATCAAACACTAATCAGCCCGTCTTCCACTCACTGTGTTCGGTCTGTTTCCCCTCCTCGGCTCTGCTTCCTCACATTCTCCTCCCCTATTCTCCCCATTTTCTCACTATTTGCGCCTAATCTTGGGCTTATCCTGTTAGGCTTTTCACTCCCTCCTGTCTGCACTCATCTCATAGACTCTTTATAGACAAGGGCATGCCTGATCGCTCTGAGGAGAAAGTGTTGTGCTCTTACACTTAGAGCTTTCACTCCTCGGTCATCCTTCTGCCCGTGGCTGGCTTGATCCCTCTCTGGGCCGTCTGTCGCTGCGATTAAAGCCAGGCCGGGTTAAGAAAATCACTGTGGGGCTTGGCCAGGCGTGCAGGGCTGCCTACCTAGATTCTGCCGCTGTTGGATGTAAGGCTGTTAAGCTCAAAGCGATCACAGTAAATGGTAACAGTATGCTCGACACTGATGTCAGGAGAATCAAAGGCAAGTGTCTGTCTGTGTAAGTAACTGCCAGAAATCATAGCCACTTCCTATATAATTCTGCACTAGATGATTAGTTGTTTAACCACATTCACTAACCAGTCCACACAGTCTTGTGTGACCCTCAGTAAAACATTCATTTATTTTAAATACCATAAATTGTTGGGTCAAGTGGGCCTCACAGACTTGAACTGAGTTATTTTTCAAGTGCCAAGACAGAGAACACACCCAAGTTAATCATTACTTCCAAGTGACAGGTGCTTCCTTATAGCTGAAGATTGATAATTAAAAAGTATGTTGCCATTCCTGATATGAGGGAAGGAAAACAAAGATATAATAAAGTCACAACTTACTAAATAAATCAACATCAACAACAATATCAGCAGTTGCTCAGTTGACTATGTGAATGGAGTTGCTTGTAGTGATGAACCCACAGAGAATTTATCTCCCAGCTCTGCAGTTCTCTTCAGCTCTTCAGAGCTTTTTAGCATCTTTCATACAGTCAGCAGTTGTACAGCTTTGATTTTGGCGGCCAAATGCTCTAAAGTCCACTAGGCCAGGGCAATATCTTTTTTTTTAAATAATAATAATAATATAATAATAATAATAATAATAATCTGCCTTTGTGGATCGAAGAAGTAATCCAAAGTTAAAGTTATATGTCAAACAAAGACAGAGGTATTTCCCTTTTTTTTCCACCAGTCCTGTAATGTTATCCCCACCACTTGCAGTCATCATCTTTCTCAGCTTAGCTGCCTCCTCCATTAGTAGAGACTGACCTCTGGTGGTGCCTGCTGTGCATTACATTGCCTCAGTACAGCATCTCTGTATCAGTTTAAAGGATAACTTAGGTATTTTTCAACCTGGGCCCTATTTCCCCATGTGTATGTGTGCGTATGATTCATAGGTACAACTCGTTCTAAAATTGGTTCAGTATTGAGGGAGGCGGATGCAGCTGGCAGCCGCAAAACGAGCTAAAAAGGTAACAGGGGCAAATGCATCCCGTATAAGTTTGCGCATTAAAAGTGCTTTTTCGCCACTGACCGGTTCAGATCGCCAGTGCTATCTCTGTAAATAGCATATTAAGCGTTTCCCTTACCTCTGGGCTATGTGTGACGTCATCTCGCAAGAGCTTTGCTCCACCGTGTCTGTAGCTCTCTCTACTCGTGGGACAGCCGTTTTCTTGAGGAAGAGGTGTTTTGGGATTGGATGTCTTCTCTTCTTCGGCTGGCAGTAGTCATCTTGGGAGAAGTGAGCACTGCAGACCCGATGGTCTGCAAGGCGCAGTGTCTGGACAGGAGTGTTAGCATCCATTTGTAGCACAACTAGCCACAACTTCAGCATCTCGCTGTCCGACAAAGGCAGCCTATGAAAGCTGTACGGGGTGTTGCGCGACATCCTGTTCTTGCAATTCAGATAAGCACAAACATGAACCATTGTTTTCAATCAATGCAGTAAAACTCTCAACTGTACTCCGGGACAACCAGAGCCACTCTGAGCGGGGCTCAGCATGGCTCCTCTGTTTTCTTCCCGCAACAAGCAACGTCACAGCCCAGAGGTAAGGGAAACACTTAGTATGCTATCTACAGAGATAGCACTGGCGATCTGAATCAGTCAGTGGTGAAAAAAAGCACTTTAAATGCGCAAACTTATACGGGATGCATT